TATATATATATATATATATATATATATATATACTAAAAGAGTCATTTAGAGGAAACCTTGAGAATGTCCTTTATAGAGTGTATATGGGTCCCCTTGTGTTCGTTCTATAGAAGTAGTTTTACCGTATAACATCCACGCAAGGGAAAGTGTGCTTTATATAGACAGGTGCCCCTCATAGGCTAGTGTCCGTTCTACAGAGGTGTTCGCTAACTCTATAGCATGCTCTCTCTGTGTCTACGTGCGTATAGATAAAGAATGCAGCCGTAGGGAAGTGCCTAGAAGGAACGTACGGTGTGCACGGAGCCCAGGCTAAACTCTCTCTCAAGCAGTGCGGCATCGGAGACATCAACAGTCAGGTGGGTGGGTCGATACCAGGCAATTACAAGTCTATTACATCATATGATATCATCCAGTAATAGTAATAACAATTATTTTGTCACTCTACAGTTGGTTATCTACACTAACCAGGGATTAATTGTAATAACAATTACTCTGTCACTCTAGAGTTGTATATCTACACTAATCAGGGATTTAATATAATAACAATTATTCTGTCACTCTACAGTTGTATATCTACACTAACCAGAGATTAATTGTAATAACAATTATTCTGTCACTCTACAGTTGTATATCTACACTAACCAGAGATTAATTGTAATAACAATTATTNGGCCTGCTAGCAAGCTAACAAGCCCCTTAACAACCCATAGGCCTGCTAGCAAGCATATAACCAATTAACAAGCCTTACAGTCCTGCTAGCAAGCTTATAACCAATTAACAAGCCTACAGGCCTGCTAGCAAGCTAACAAGCCTCTTAAGAAGCCTACAGGCTGCTAGCAAGCTTTGACTGTAGGCTTGTTGATGGGTTATCTGCGAGCAAGCTTATAACCAATTAACAAGCCTACAGGCCTGCTAGCAAGCTAACAAGCGGTTATAAGCTTGCTAGCAGGACTGTAAGGCTTGTTAATTGGTTATATGCTTGCTAGCAGGCCTGTAGGCTTGTTAATTGGTTATAAGCTTGCTAGCAGAACTGTAGGCTTGTTGATGGGTTATAAGCTTGCTAGCAGGCCTCTAGGCTTCTTAATGGGTTATAAGATTGCTAGCAGGTCTGTAGGCTTCTTAAGGCCCTTAACAAGCCTACAGGCCTGCTAGCAAGCATATAACCAATTAACAAGCCTACAGGCCTGCTAGCAAGCTAACAACCCCTTAACAAGCCTACAGTCTTGCTAGCAAGCTTATAACCAATTAACAACCCTACAAGCTTGCTATCAAGCTAACAAGCCCCTTAAGAAGCCCACAGGTCTGCTAGCAAGCGTAAAACCCCTTAACAAGCCTACAGGCCTGCTATCAAGCTTATAACCCATCAACAAGCCTACAGTCACGCTAGCAAGCTTATAACCAATTAACAAGCCTACAGGTCTGCTAGCAAACATATAACCAATTAACAAGCCTACAGGCCTGCTAGCAAGCTAACAACCC